GTGTGGGGGTGTGTGAGATTAAAATAGCCCAATTGCTTTTACAATAAATAAACATTGAATTAGTTTATAGTAAAGGGGTTTAACGTTAGTGGCAGGTTGTGTGTGAGAGAGAATAAATAAGACAGCCCAATATTTAAAAAAATTGTTATTCTTTTCCCCCGCATATTTAGCATATTTTGCAACTTTCCGCATATTTCGCAACTTCCCGCAATTTCACTGCATAAAATCACATAAAAACCCCACATGTTTAATCGCATAATCAAGGATTTTAGCCCGCATTTTTCTGGAGGGTCTAACAAACACATAAATAAAACTGTGTGATCTCTCAATATATGTAATTAATTTATCACATTGCAGTTTAGTTGCAGTATCTACATGTCTGTCCAAAATACTATTACATATTTGTGTGAATTTGCCAGAATTACCGTATACATTGAGTTTTTTGGGCAACATTCTTTTTACTTACTTTCAAGAGAAGAGTGAATTTGACCCAAAACATAAAAAACAAACAAAATCATATTTATTTCATGTATATTGAAGAAAACAAGTTTAATTTAGGTTGCTATCAAGATCATCTTTTAGCTTTTTGAAGGGCGTTTATAAAAAAAGGAAATGCTAACAATCAATTTTTTGAAATCATTTTGTAAGCGACTGTGTATCAAATGTTTACAAAGTGTAAACTTATATACATAAACAATGAAGAAGCCTGGTGTGAAAAGAGCCACTCGCTACAAAAGAAACTCACTTATTTTTCAAGAAAACTAACTTACAGGTATTTATTAATTTAATGTTTATGTGATCGGGACAGATACACTAGAGAATGGCACAACAATTACCCAAAACAACGCATCAGCTGCTGTTCATTCTCAACGCCTGTCCCTGGACATTTCAAGTGAATATTGAAAAGATGATTATTTTCTCAATAAATATTTTATTATATAGAAGATAAGAAGCAGGAACTAGATAAAGAGAGAATAACAATGGAGGGGTAAGTGCGCCAGAGCTGAGCCTCAGTTCCTGTACTACACGCCTGTAGAGGAAAAATCTACTTTTATAATCTATCTCCCTCATAGTAACTTTTAGATTTTAAGATACATTATTGTTGGGTATTGTGTCTGTACTGTAGTTGTGCTGTGTATGGAGAGTGTTGTCTTAGATGCCGGTGCCAAAGAAAAATGTCCATTTATAGCAAATGTATGGACAATAATCTGAATCTGAGAAAGGGAGTGGGCAGATATCTAAAACTCAACCTAAAAGTGTGAATCTCCATTCCAGGTATTTGACAGGTCACATCAACAGAAACATGCAGGAGAACACTGAAAGCACCAAGAGTTGCTCAACAGTCCGTCACTTACAGCGTATAAGAAAATATTTCCCACACACTGTCGGATCTGAACAGCAGAACCCCCCATGTGCTCAGAGCTGACTTACTGCTTGTGCTACACATTGCATATGTTCTTCTCAAAGTGAGACGTATGTGTGTGTGTGTGTGTGTGTGTGTGTGTGTGTGTGTGTGTGCACTCCGCTCTATGTCCCCCTATAACCCCCTTGTGGGTGGCCTGGGTCCTCCGGCCCATCTGCACCACAGACCGTGTTGGTGATGCAGCGGAAATGAAAGGTGGGGTGAGGTAATTAAATCTTCCGGCAGCTGTCCACACTGGCTGCTGGGTAATTGCTAGCAGGTGGATGACACAGGTGCCAGGAAGTTTCGTAGAAAATATGGTTATAGAAAGAGAGGAAGCGGAGGGTAAATAAACTTCGATTTTATAAGCAGACATAGAAGGAGTTTACATTTAGTTGAATAACTTCCAATAATCAAACACGGCTGTGTGAAGGTTATACTTTAGATCAGGGGTTCCCAACCTTTTTTCCCAAGAGCCCCCCCAAATGACTCTCGTTGGAAGTTGAGCCCCCCCCTGACACA